CTCCGACAGAGAACACCGGTGAACACGAATATGGTACACAGTAGTCAACCGGAGGGTCGGTCAAACTGAGGGGGGGGGAGAGGGATGTACAAGCTGAGGGATGTACAGGTTGAGCAATCCATGTGTACACACACATACACAGGTTGTTTGTACAACAACTGTGATGCCATATGCTATGCATGTGTCGCATCATCCCTGATGTCTGACGTGGTCTGTGGTGCAGTGTGGGTGTGTATGTGTGTGGTGCCGTGGCCGAGCACTAACTACTGCGTCCCCTGTCAACAAGCCGGGGTGCAATGTCTCTCCCCAAGCTGTGGCCACTGCGCCATGCAGGAGGCAACTCAGGTTCAGTCCCCATGTCAGCGATGTTGCTAGCACAACCTCTCTGTTCACCAGAACAAACCATGCCTCGCCGATACGTGACCATTTCCCCCCCTTCTTGCAGGATCGCATTATGGTGGTCACTGCAGCATACTGCATACCACCATCAGGTGTCGCCCCCTTGAACACCACACGCAGCACGTTGTGCGGATCGGAAAATACTCGTGCCAACCTCAGGATTGCATGTGCCCAACCTTTGGTTACTTGTCCACCCGCTGTCTTGAGATCGTAGTACACGTCATTGTCATCGTCCGCTTCGTCGCTGCTGACGTCGCTGCCGCTCACATCCACGTCAGACCCCTCGTACTCTTCCTTATCCTCCTCCTCTGCATTGACTCTGTGTTGTGCATCATCTGTGTGCTCGTCCTCCTGCTGCTCCCCGAAGAAGAAACGCTCACAAGTGTCCATATACACCAACTCCTCTGTTGATGGTGTGTGCAAGGTAGACACGTCACCCACCATCGCCCCGCTCGTATCTTGTGCTGCTGATGTCTCCCCGGTTTCTTCAATGACCGGTAACCTTGTTTCGCTGGCAATCATCCTCCAACCCTCTTCCCTTTCTCTYTGTCTCTCGACATCGCAGGTTGCAAGACCAAGCCGCTCCAGAGCACAACCCAACAAGCCCCCCCACAATGGTCTGCCACTAATGATCTCCTCTCCTGCCGACGCGGGCTCAAACTCAATGACATCTCGAACATGCACGACATACTCTGTGACTTCGTGCAACATCTCATGAATGACGTTCCTGTCGTCCTCTGACCTCCCCATGAGATCACATAGCTGGTCAAGCAGAACGTATTCCACACCGTCTGCAACAATAATGGGAAGCTCTTGAAAGTCCTGGGGCGGTGTTTGTGTCATGTCCTTGATTCTGGACAGCACTAGTATTTCTGCAGCACCCCTCTTCAATTTGTCCTTCGTCCCTTCAACAAGCATGTCCCATCCCTTCGCCACACTCACCATGAACTTCCTGAAAGCCACAGGTATATAGGTCCCCCCTCTCTGCTGCATTGACATGTCGAAAACTCCTTCGTCGCGCATGCCTTCGCTGCACATCCACTGCACCACTCCTTTTAGACTGTTGTCTTCCGCGTCGCTGTCCACACGAATATCAGGTGACTCTCTCAATCGTTCCAAGAGTGTTCGTGCCTGTATGCAACCACTGTCGTTGGCCATGATCGTGGATCTCATATCCACGGTAACAGCAAAGTACCGCGGCACCCTCTCCTCCACCAAAGACAACTCGCCACAGCCGTTGTAATGGAATCGCTCCTCTGCATACTTCATCACCTCTGCAAGAGCCTTAGCCACCTGTGCTACCGACATCGACATGATGCAAATGCTTTGTCTTTCGACCTCTTTTCTCTGCCAGCGGAAACGCACAAAAACGTCATCGACATGTCTGTGTGCGTGTGTGTGTGTGTGTGTGTGTGTGTGTGTGTGTGTGTGTGTGTGTGTGTCTCGGCCTCTGTTGCAAGGTTGGCTATTGAGGGCCATTCAGTGTTGCAAGGGTTATCGTTTGGTAGATTATGGCACCCAGTAGCCAACTTCAGGGCTGCGTCCAACAACGTGTGTGTGTGTGTGTGTGTGTGTGTGTGTGTGTGTGTGTGTGTGTGTGAGCACGTCATCCATACATACAGACAGACAGACTGCCTGTTCAACAGTCAGAAAGACCGACAGTCTAACACAGGGACACACATCCAGACAGACCTACAGAGAGACAGACCGACCTACAGACAGACATACAGACATACAGACATACAGACATACTGACAGGCAGACAAACGAACTGACTGACAGACAGAGAGACAGACGGACAAATTGCAGTAGTCAGACAGACAGACAGACGGACAGAAAGAAAGAAAGAAAAAAGGAAAGAAAGAAAGAAAGAAAGAAAGAAAGAAAGAAAGAAAGAAAGAAAGAGAGACAGACAGACAGACAGACAGACAGACCGACAGACAGACAAACAGACAGACAGATAGACAGGCAGACACACAGACAGACAGATAGACAGACAGACTGACAGACCAGCAGACAGACAGACAGAAAGGAAGAAAGAAAGAAAGAAAGAAAGAAAGAAAGAAAGAAAGAAAGAAAGAAAGACAGACTGACAGACAGACAGACAGACCGACTGACAGACAGACAGAGAGACAGACAGACAGACTACAGTAGTCAGACAGACAGACAGACAGACAGACGGACAGACATAAAGAAAGAAAGAAAGAAAGAAAGAAAGAAAGAAAGAAAGAAAGAAAGAGAGACAGACCAGCAGACAGACAGACAGAGAGACAGAGAGACAGACAGACAGACTGCAGTAGTCAGACAGACAGACAGACAGACAGACAGACAGACAGACAAACAGACTGACAGACAGACAGATAGAGAGACAGACAGACAGTCCGACGGACAGACAGATAGACAGACAGACTTGTCCTCTCAACATTCTCGTATGGAACAAGACACTCTGCACCATCATCGCTCGTGTCGCCATCCGTGCTCAAGTCTGCAGCCTGCGCACAAATTCCCGCAAGAGCCACTGCACAGTCCGTGGTGTTTGCTCCGGCTGATATCCCTTCGTTGCTGACACCTGCAATACCCTTCACCATGTCCCGAGTCTCCATCGCGCATGTCTCCACGCCGTTGACATTCGATTGAATGGCAGGCCCCATCTATTGCATGACACATCACAAACATTTATGAGAAGCCTTGGCAGTGACGTGACCCCCTCACCAGAGAGAGAGAGAGAGAGAGAGAGAGAGAGAGAGAGTACTGCGGGCCAGAACGAGAACAACCAGCGGTGGTGTGCACTTACATGGCACGCAGTAGTCAACCTCTCTCTCTCTCAGGTAGACATACACTGCGTAAAAGGGCGGTTGGCTACTGCGGGCCGTTGGGACAACAAGCAGCATCGGTACACATTAACATGGCACGCATCAGTCAACCTCACCCAGCTAGAAAAAAAGAAAAAAAAATTGTGGCACCAGCGCGAGGTTGGCTACTGCGGGCCAGAACGAGTACAACCAGCAGCGGTGTACACGTACATGGCCCGCAGTAGTCAACCTCGCCAATACTGCCTAACATACACTGCGTA